CCGCCACCACTCAACAGTCTCTTCGTGCAACAAGGGTGTTTTGGATAGATTTCAAACATTTAGGGACTCATGGTAATTATTTAGGGGTGTTTTTGATGAATTTCAAACATTTATGGACTAACATGTAATTTTATAGAATATGGTCCAACCGACTGATCCACCGATCAAACCAAGAACCAGACCCATGAACTGGTCAAGGCTTGGTCCAGTTTTAAGAACATTGGGTACAAGTTCCAGTTTTAGGCATTTTGGAATTGGTTCCGACTGGGTCCAATTCTAATTCCTAAATCCTAGGAACCACTGACTCTGGATCCGGGTCTGCTTCTAAGAGATTGGGCTGGGTATATCTATCATTTTTACAAACATAAGGGGTGTATTTGTAATTTTTTGTGAACAATGTCGAGTATGCGGACACAAACTCAGAATCGAAACTCATGTACAGGCAGTGTTTTGAAAACCAGACTGGACCAGCTAGTCAGACCGGTTTGACCGGGAATCGACATCATCTCTAGTCCAATTTCCCTTGAAAACTTGTATTCTTAATCAAACCAGATTGAGTCGCGGTTGGACTGACGGAATAGTAACGAATTGCAGTCCAATTGTAAGTCAATCCCGCTAGATTTCGGTATCGTTCGAGGGAGATAACAACACCATAAGACTTGGTGGCATCTCCACAACAAAACCCATCCATTTTCAGTGGCTGCTGTTCAGCCTTTCGTTGCTCACCGTCCACCTATTGTTCATGCAACCGTCGAACTTCCTTCTTGATTCTAGCAAATTCTGGTGCCGTTAGAACTCCTTGACACTACCATAAGATTCGTCGGCACCTCTACATCAAAAGCCTCATCATTCCAAACTTTGATTAGCCCTCGATTGCCGTCCACCTATTGTTCACGCAATTGTCGACCTTCTTTCTTGATTCCAGCAAATTTTGGCGCCTTTAGAGCTCCTTGACACCACCATAAGATTCGCCGATGACAGGCTATTCGCAAGTGTACGAAATCGCGCAAGTAGTAAAACTCGAGTAAACGAGTGTCGAATCCCAAGGGAACTACCTACCAAGTACCAAACTATTATATTCTATTACTATTTGATTAAACTGAAGTTTAAGGATGATTTTAATGAAAAAGTAAACAAACTAACCACTAAAAATTAAGTACTGAATGAAAGTGAAACTTGTAAACACTTTGAATTAAAAATCAATATGACTAAACCTAGGGCATAGATTTCACACCAATTTAATCCTATACATTGACTTTTGTTGTTAACCTAATCGAGTGTATTCTAAAAACCAAATCCCCTATTATTCCACTAACTCTCTCTCGAGCAATTAGCAAATTAACCCTTAAACAATAACCCAAGATATCTCTAAATTGGAGTTAGGAGCTAAGAGTCATTAAGCCTATAGAATTTACCAGAGCCTCACAGATCGCGGTAACCTTCTCTAGCGTTCGCTCAATCTAGGGTTTTATTACCTAAGACAAATCGTTTCATCTCTCGATCTCAACCTAACCCTTACAATCATTCAACCCTCGGCCTTGAGAATTGAAAGCATTATGCTAGTAATAAACTTAGAACATAACTCAATAAGGATGAACAACCATTCAAGTCAACATATATTCATAAATCGGGCTACATCTTAGCCCTAGACAAGAAAGTTAGTTCATAATTAAAATAACAAAACCCATCATTCTCATTAAAAACATCAATCTAAGAAAAAGATAACTTCTCTAATCGGTGAACGAGCTTTCAGGATCCCGATCTCTCAATTGGTAGCCGTCCTCTTCTTCTCCCCCTTAAAACTAATTAAAAATCCTTATTTATAGTCTAGGGTTTTCAAGTTACTTAGGAAAAGAATTAAAATCCTTAACCCACTCAAATTCGGATTAGGAGAATGCAATAACCCAAATAGGCCCGAGACCCATCGCTGCGGCGATGAGAAACGATCGCTGCGGCGATCGTTCTTTCTGTCCCCAGAGTCCGTGAACTTCAGAATTTGGTAAAGTCATAAACATGAACTTTGTAGCTCTTTGAATAAGCTTTCCAACGCCACCAGAATCGTCAATTTCCGATTACCACAGCTCAAGTTATGATCAAAACATCGAAGCATGCTCATCTTAAAGGATTTCCAGATTTTACGTTATAGTTTCGACGAGTCACAACTTTCTCGTTTCAACTCCGATTCTTGCACCGTTTGTTCCCACTTGTCACGAATTCCATCGACATCATTCTTGTTCCTTCAAATATCGGTTTGAACCTGAAAATACTCAAAATACACCCATGATCCCGTAAAACGTATTTATGAAATAATAAATTCAAATTCCAACAATTAAACACCTTTTTCCACAAATAATCCAATTGAATCACTAATAAAATGTATACTTTCAAGCTCTTATCAGCCGACACCTATACATCAAAAGCCCCATCATTCCAAACTTCGATTGGCTGTTGATCATCACTGCCGCCACCACTCACCAGTCTCTTCGAGCGACAAGGTGTTTTGGATATGTTTCAAACCTGTAAGGACTCATGGTAATTATTTAGGGGTGTTTTTGATGAATTTCAAACATTTATGAACTAACAATAGTTTTATAGAATACAGTCCAATTGACCGATCCAACTGGTCAAATCGAGAACCGGACCCATGAACGGGTCAAGGTCTGGTTCGATTTTAAGAACATTGGGTACAAATTCCAATTTTAGGCATTTTGGAACTGGTTCTGACTGGGTCCAATTCCGATTCCTATATCCTAAGAACCATCGGGTCTGATTCTAAGGGATTGGGCTGGGTGTCTAGACCCGCTCACCCCTAAATTTACTTTAATTTCAATCTAACCAGAGAGCACGTCAGGGATGAAACACGTTTAGAAATGAGTTAACTCTCTTTTTGTGATATTGCATGGTCAAAAAAGCAGGCATTGCTTGTCGTGTAGTGGTCAATCTATGTGTATAAAAACGTGAAGACCTTTTTATACAAAAGTCTTATTTAATTGATAAAATTTTATTTGTGGTAAAACAATGACTAATATGAAAATATGAAGAGCCTTCATTTTTTTTTTTTGGGGTAAACAAATATGAAGAGCTCTTTATACTAAGAATTTATTAAAAAAACCCAAGTTCAGTTCAATTTTCTTTTACAAAATCAAAATCTAGTTAGGATCGTGCACTTATCACCAGGTCAAAAGTTATTGTTCTTAGAAGAGAAATTTTTTAAAATATATCTCTGAGGTTTTGCTAATACTCAGCTTTATGGTACTTATGCTAGAAATCATCACAAAATATTATCACTAATACCATTAGCTTTTGTTACCTTGAATTTTTAGTTTATTTGAAAATACCATTTTGCCCTCACTTTTATTGAAGATGGAAAAGTAATTTTGAACTAGTGAATTTCAGTTTAATTAATATTTTTAATTTTACTTAGCAACAACAGGGTTAAGACTAATTAATGTTTGACTAATTAAAATTAGGGTTAGTTAAGTTTTCCGGTGATTAATTTTAATAAAATGACCACAATGCCTTAGAACTGTTAGAATAATTTAACGTTGTTCGTGACAAGGGGTATTTTCTAATGATTCATAACATAATTTCCATAAAAGTTGAGTATTAACAAAACCTCAAGGGGTAGATATTGAAAATTTCCCTTGTTAAGTCTTTTTTCGGCGGTATAATGACACGACACTTTTCTTAAAATGATATTTGCCCTCACCAATATTTATGTGATATATTGACCAAGTCGCAAATATGTCTCGTGAATACACAACTGTTCCAATCTTATTGAATGTTGAAAAGTTAAAGTTATTTTAAATTATATGGATTTTTTAATATTTTAAGGCCAAACAAAGCAAAAGCAGCATATATGGGTGAGTTGGTTTCATACTGAGTAATATTACACATCCCAATTAACTTTTATTTAAAATATTTCATTTTAATTAAGTACTTGATGTATCGATTTTGGGATATTAATATATCAATTACCACATCAGTGTGTTATTTACATGTTATTGTAAAATAGAGTAATTCGAGAAAGAAAAATTTGGAATAAGACTTTAAGCATGTAATTTTAGAGTAAAAGCCGCGCTCAATATTTGTATTTGATGTATTTGTTTTAGTATTAAAATTTAATGAAAATGGGTGCAATATCATATTCTGAAAAAAATTCTAAAATGAAAATTATAAAAACGTTTTTGTTATCGACTTATCATTTTCTTATAATAAATATGAAAGGTAGAGAATTAAAACATAAAAAAAAAAAAAAAAAAATTCTTTTTAAGCTGTGTGTTTTCAGTTTTGTTGACAAACATGTTTTTCTTGTTTTCTGTTGTGAAAAACACAAAAAAATATAAATGAAAAAATATGACACATTTTTTAAAATAAAATAAAAGAATAAAAATGAAAACGATAATAAACGGACCCAAAATTTTTATAGCTTACTCTTGACAGAGCCTAGAATTTTGTTTAAAGGGGGAAGGATTAAAGATCTAATCAACAATTTAAACTTTTTTCTAAACATAATAAATCTTTTATTATTAGTATTAACTAATCTACAATTGTATAAAACTTAATACTTACCACCATTAACAATTTAATATAATAAAACTTAAATACAAAATTCATTAATAAAAACCACAAATGTTTGTAACATTATAATAATAATAAAAAAAAAAACAAATAACTTCAATTTTTAACAATATAATATCCCACTTCAAAATTCATAAATTCTTCTCTAAGTTAACTATGGTGTATAAAAGTTTAGGCAACGGACACATTAATTTATGATTTTTTCTTAAACTATAGTTAAGTTAAACATATATTAAATTAAAATTATGTTGGACACTTTAATTATTTCTGTGGGGTCATCAGCCCCCACTACCCCACTCGTGGCTCCGTCCTAATTGGGATGCTCACCAAACACATGGGAGAGTCAAGTCAACCTCTGAATGCATGTTTTTCTTTTAAAAATTGGGCATATTGAAATTGTATCAGAATTAGTAACAATCATGGCTTGTTCTATCTCTTTGTCTAAAATCATCCTTTCCGCCATTGTTATGCTCATCATCTCTGCAAAAATCACACACCAGCAAACCACAGATCTCTACCACCACTGCATAAAATACCCAACAACTTTCACTCCCAATATTGCCTTCTCAACTAACCTCAATCAAACTCTCTCTTCCCTAATCTCAAACGCCACCCTCAGCAATGGATTTTACAACGCCAGCACCGGAGGCCCGCTGGCCGTATCCGATGAAGCCTATGGCCTCTTTCTTTGCAGAGGAGACATCGCTCCTGATTTATGCCAAAGTTGTGTCAAGGCGGCCAGTGAAACTATCATAACCGTTTGTCCAAAACAGAAGGAAGCAATTATATGGTATGAAGAGTGCATGTTAAGGTACTCAAACAAGACGATTTTCGCCGACATGGAAGAGAATCCTGGTTATTCGATGGGCAGCATGAACGATGTTGTGAATGTGAGTCAGTTTAAGGAGAGTTTGGATGGGTTGATGAGTAGTTTGATCAAAGAGGCTGTGGGTTCTAGCAAATTTTTTGCCACAAAAGAAGTGAATCTCTCAACTGTTACTAGGCTATATGGGCTGGCGCAATGCACTCCTGACATTGTTTTATCTGAGTGCAACATTTGCTTGGATGACTGTGTTAGTGAGATTTCTGAATGCTGTTATGGGAAGGAAGGAGGTAGAGTTAATAAGCCTAGTTGCAATATCAGGTTTGAAATGTATCCTTTTTACTCACAACCAACTCCAACTCCACCTCCAGCACCAGTACCACAACCTCCGCCACCAGTACCCTCAACAAGTACAAGTGGTAAGCATTTGGTTTTACAAATCTTTTGGATTATCGGATTCATTTAGATCGGACCAATTAGCAAGTTTGTGCTTGTAATGGCCTGTATACCCACTTCCTCTTACGGCTTTGAGAGTTACGTTATTCTTTCACGTATTGTCTTGGGTTCGAATCAAGAGGGATAAGACAAAATTCCGAACCCCACCATATGAGGTGAGTAGAACGATACATGAAGATCATAACTCTTGGAACCCCACCGGAGGAAGTCGGCATGAGATGTTACAGTGCATGCCAGGTGCACTAGGTCATTAATTGAACGCATATACATCCGATGAACGTTAGATTAATAATAAGTTTTGCCGTAGTAAATCATTTGAATCTATTTTGCTAGAATATAGCTAAGCATATTGTATTTTAGTGGATCAAATATTTCTTGTGTGTGCAGGAAATAGGCAGATCTCCTTAAAGAGGATGATTGAAATTACAGTTCCTACAGTACTTGTCTTCACAATAATTTTATCCACTTCATGCTATTGTCTCTTAAGTTGGAAAGAAGGGAGAAAGTACAGAGCTGTAAATGAGGGAAATGGTAATATATATATATATAACAAAACTAAAAAGCTTTTGTTTTATCATATTCTAAATAAAACTAACTTAAAACTTCCATTTTTTTTTGAAGTATTATCTCCAGCTGGTGATGAAATTTCAATGGTGGAATTTTTACAATTAGATTTGCATACCATTGAAGCTGCCACACACAATTTCTCTGATGGAAACAAGATTGGTGAGGGTGGATTTGGCAGCGTGTACAAGGTAAGAAACTTTCCCTTTTTTATTTCTTTCTTTATGTTGAAATGAGAAAAATTTTATCCCTAGGCATCCGACCAGATGAACTCACACCATCACAAAATGACCATGCCCCGACGCGACCATGTTGCCGGATAATTTGAAAAACGCGTCAGGGCCAAAAGAGCGCTGGCGCAAATTAATGCTCTGGAAACTCATCAGGACATCATCGTCGGTAACATCATTAAGAGGTTAATTAGTATATGTATTAACAAATGGTTGATTAATGGTCTATTATATATCCACAGGGTACACTTCATAATGGACAGGAAGTAGCTATTAAAAGGCTATCAAGAGGCTCAGGCCAAGGTTTGCATGAATTTAGGAATGAGGTTGCGTTGGCAGCCAAGCTTCAACACAGAAAGTTAGTGAGGATATTAGGGTTTTGTGCGGAAAAAGGGGAGAAAATACTCGTCTATGAATTTGTGCCCAACAAAAGCCTTGACTACTTCCTTTTTGGTATATGAAATTTCTTTATTTCTTCATAACATCATAAAATGAGGGCATTTCAACGTCTCACCTCACAACTAAAAAATTATTATTTTTATTGATGCATGTACAGATCCTGAAAAACAAGGACTTTTGAATTGGCCAATGCGTTGCAAGATTATAGAAGGAATTGCTCGAGGACTTCTATATCTTCATGAAGATTCTAGATTTAGAATTATACATTGTGATCTTAAAGCCAGTAATGTCTTGTTGGACGAGGACATGAAGCCGAAGATAGCAGATTTTGGCATAGCAAGGATTTGTGGGATGGATCAAAGTCGAGGAAGTACAAGCAGAATTGTTGGAACATAGTAAGATTTAACACAATAATAATCCTTCTAATTATTCTTAGTAACTATTTGGATATATACTAGACTAATGTACTAATGGTGCTAGATTCTAGTGGCTATATGTCTCCAGAGTACGTGTTGCACGGACAATTCTCAATTAAGTCTGATGTGTACAGTTTTGGAGTTTTAGTAATAGAGATCATAAGCGGTAAAAAGAACAATTGTTTCTATCAATCAGCTTATGCTGAGGGCCTCTTGAGCTATGTAAGCACAAACTCATCAATTTTATCTTACATAGAATAGAAGCTACATTTTGTTATGAGAATTAACTGATGTTTCTCACAGGCTTGGAGACTTTGGAGGGAAGGAACGCCATTAAAGCTAATGGATAAAACTTTAGGTGATTTGTTTTCGCCAGATGAGGTCATTCGATGCATCCATATCGGATTATTGTGCGTTCAAGAAGATCCAACAGACAGGCCTATAATGGCAACAATATTGCTTATGCTTAATAGTTTCTCTACTGCACTGCCGTTACCAAAACGACCAGCATTTTCTATTCATAGAACGACAGAGCAAAGCATGCCAAAAACGAGTCCAGATTCAATTCAATATTCAGGCAAACCCATGCCTTCATATGTGAATGACGAGCCCATCACTGAACTCTACCCTCGTTAGCACAAGGAATTGCAAACTTTCAATAGTATTTATCATTCCATTTATCAAATTTGTTTTTCATAAATAGCTTACACCTTTGATTTTGATAAGATATATCAAATTCCATACGATATATAGTCCATCATATACATATATTGTAACTTTTAACTACATGAATATATAATGTTGGAGTAATGTATATATATATATATATATAATTATTCAGTCTTTTTCACTCTAATCTAATTCAGTCCAATCCCAAGAAAAAAATACAATCGGATACTATGTACCAAACACGGTCTTAATATTCTATTTTCGCATGATAATTGAACACTTTATTGATGCAAAGAATCAAAGAAACAATGAAGCATGGGGGAGAAAGCGGGACTTTCACATATAAATGGCCGCATAATTAAAAGAGTAAAGTTTACTCTTCACTGAATAATGAAAAATCAGTTTACCAGTAAAGAAAAGTTAAACACTTTTTCTCTCCATTTTTGCTTATTCGCAAACCCTAAGCTAATTTGTCATGGTATCAGAGCCAAGACTCGCGTCAATGGCTAAGGATTCCTCTGCTTCTCACATGCTTAACAACAATCGAGAAGTGTTGCAAGATTCTACAAATCGATTGACTTTAGCTCTCAATTCAAGTTTGCAAGTTATAAACCCTAAGTTGACATGAAATAATTACCGATTTTGGAGCTCCCAAGTGTTATCTGTTGTCGGCTCTCATGAATTGGAAGACCACCTCTTAGGTAGAGCTCGTTGTCCCTCACCAGTTCTAATCGATGAATCTGAGGTTAGTGAACAACTTAATCCGGCTTATGTTTTGTGGAAAAGAGTTGATAAATGTTTAGTTGGCTGGCTACTTGCATCAATTTCGGAAAGCATGTTCTGTGTTGTTTCAAAATGTAGATTAGCTACTGAAATTTGGTTAGCCTTAGAAAACGAATTTGTAACAGATTCCAAGGCTCGAGCTCTTCATCTTAGAAATTTACTTCAAACTACTCAAAAGTGTAATCTCAGTATTAGTGATTACGTTAAAAAGATGAAAGAGATTTCTGAAAGTTTAGCAGCAAGTGGAATGATTGTATCTGATGAGGACTTGCTTCAATATGTATTAGATGGGTTAGGACCTGAGTATGATGATGCTGTTATGACTCTCACTTCCAGATTAGAGTCCAAAGTTGATAATGTTACACTTCAAGAGGCACAATTTTTACTTCAGAAATATGAGTTGAGATTAGAAAAATTTAACTCAGTTGATTTCTACAATAGATCTGTTAATGTAGCCTTAGCTAGTCATCCTAATGTACTTGGCATTTCTGGAACAAAAGAGCAGACTGGTTTTAACACAGCTACAAACGTTGAGAATGTTGTACCATCCCTAATGTCTCTGGGAAATCCTCATCCACAGACTTATATCACTCCACCAGTCTTTACATCCTCTCAGCCTCAAAATTTTATGCCTTTTGTTGGTAATGGACTGACTCAAAACTGGACTAGACCTCCTGTTTATGGAAGAGGCAGAGGCTGTGGTAATGGAAGAAACAGACTCATTTGTCAAGTCTGTAATAAGGCTGGACACTCTGCTGCTCAGTGTTACCATCGGTTTAATGCAGCTTACAGTGGTAGCTCACAGCAACAACACTCTGTTCATATGCCTCAACAGCAGTACTCTGGCTTTACTCACCCAGGCTACCAAAATGTGGCATCTCAGCATTATCAGAGCTCCATTTATTCTCAGCCTGCACAGCATCCTCAGCATGCTCAAAACAATGTTTTTTCTGCTGCTAATCAACTGCATAATGACCACTCGTCATCAGTCCCAAACAGTGGTTCAGCACATTTCAATCCTTCTTCCAGCATTGGACAGTCAAGCAATACATTTGTTCCTGCTTCAGGTGTTGGCTGTTTTGGAGTACCTAGTCAGCAGAACAGTCACATATACAAGGCCTAGCATGTTGGTCAAAGAACGAAAGTGCAAAAGAGCCAAGTACAGGAGAAAATGTAATTCTGCAAACGGTGTCGTTTCTGTTTATAATAAAAACAGTTGTAAAACGCAGCACTTTTATCTTCTCTTACGTTTGCTTGTATAGAGTGTAAATTTTCAAGTATTTACATAAATATGTTGCAGGCAAAGTATCTGTCTACTGTTAAGCTATCAGTGGAATGTTTTTGGATAATTTAATTAGACAAAAGTTCTTGCTTAAGCTGAGCGAGTCCTTTTAAGAAACTGAAGGCGGTTTTTTTTTTTTTTTTTTCCTGATAGAAAAAAGACCTGTCTGAAACATTTAGATTGAAATGTTCCATTACATTTATACAAACTTCTTTTGTTCTGCAGACAGCATAAACATCATTCATTTTACTGCGACCAATCAGGCCTTTTAAGTACTTTTATATTATAACAGCACTTTTAAACACATTTTCCCATTCTGACTTGGGAAGATTTTGTTCATCATGTAGGGTATTTTCTGAACAGAGTTGTGGGTTAACGTATTTATTTGCCAAATGAAGATTTGTTGTATATTGGCTTAATGATCCCATTCACTTCAAAGGGTGTAAACAAGTTAAGCCGAGTTTTGGGCTAATGGAGGTCGGCTCGTTTGTTATAGTATTGAGCTCGAGTTCGATCTTAGCAACTTGAAATTCGAGCTCGAGCTCAACACTGAAAATTCAAGTTCAAGCTTGAGCTAACAAAAAAAATCTCCAATTCTTTATTTTTTGCTTTTCCAATCGAGCTTGAGCTTGAGTCGAGTTTGTTGAGTCAAAATTTGGCGAGTTTGTACTTGGCTCACCACTGTAGCCGAGTCGAGCGGCTCGGCTCGGTTGACACCCCTATTTAAACATCCAAAAATCTCAAACTAAATGTGATAATTAATAATTAAATTTTGTATAAGTAATATGTTTGTATGATTGTCCTAGTATATATTATTTATTCAAAATAAGTAAGTTTTGGACGTGCATCCACGCTATTCATAATTAATGACATTCAATTATCTATGTATTTTATTCTCTTTTATAAAACTTATCATCATAATCATTGATTAATTTAAAAAATGAATGCATAGATGATATAATTTCATGGAAGAAGCATAAGGAAAAGGCAAGAAAAAGAGCTCCCTTCCAGAAGATGAAAAATTATTATTAACATCAACATGATTATTTAAAAAAAAAAGCCGTTAATCCTTTCTCTTTCCTGTCAAACTCAGTATTGATGAACAAATAATCATTGGACTTTAATCGCTCGGCCAAACTAGAAAAAGAGTTAATTGGTTGAGGAGAAATCATCAACAAAATGATTCTGCTTAGAATGAACGGCCGAGAAGCGAGTGAGATTGTTAACACTTGGGAAGATCAGCTGGTGGAGGAAGCAGCTTCTGATTGGGAAGCTTTCCATCTAAGACGATCCAGGCCATCTTCAAACCCCAGCTGGTGTGAACTTCCAGGTGGCAGTGCATGAACCACACCCCTGTATATATATATATATAATTTGACAATCAATCATTATTTACTGGAATCAGTCAGGAAAAAATGTATAAGGCAGAAATATTTTGATCAACTTGTATGGTTATATGTCTAACTAGATTACCTCCGTTTTGAACTTGTTTTCCCGCATGAATTAGACTTTAATTGTCATTATGAGTTTAAGTTGAAATTTATAAAAAATATACATGCATTTTTACCCACCTGGATTGTCTGCGAGGAAACGAATAGCCACCCACCCACCAGAGGGCACACCAACAGTGTTCCTGTACGTCAACAGGATCCACAAGATTGAAGTTTGCAGGGTCTCTGTTCGGATCAAAATTTCCGAAACCTTGTCCAACGACGAAGAAATTGAAGCCATGCAAATGAAGAGGGTGGCTTTCAGCACCAAGTATGCTGGTATCCTGAATAATGAGCTCAACACTTGTGTTATAAGGAAGTGCCACTAACTTTGTTCCATTGCTCACCATTGTATTATTTGGTGGGGTGCCGGTGTAATTAAATTGAATTAATGGATAGATAGGAAAATTGGGGGTGTAAACGCCATTTGATTGGGCAAAAAAGTGAGATTGGAGTAGAGCTGTGTTTGGCATTGTAAAAGAGACATTATTAACTGAAGCCGCGAACATGGTTCCATTAGGGCCTTGGCAGGTTTCGTTGCTGTGGCATGGACTTGTTCCTAAGCCTACCGTGAAGAAGAATTGCTTGTCAACCTTTTGGGGCACATTGGCGGGGAATTGTGCACTTGCCAAGCTACGAAGTTTATTTGAAAATTTTGTAGCAAAGGATGTGTCATTGAGAGGAGGTAAAACTGGTTTAAAGAGTGGACGTTTTTTGATGGAGTTGCTAGAACGAAAGTTGCGTGGTTTTTCATACTCTAAAATACCAGCAACAGTTGAATTGTCGAAAGTGCCTTGACCAGTCACATAAGGCCTAGCAGTCATTAAAAATGTTGCACTTGGGTAATGGGATCTGGTTTTCAGAAGAACATTTGTTGTCTGACCAGGGGCAATGAGTAGTGTTTCAGTTTCGAAAGGTTTAACATAAACAGCATCCACATCCACAACTATAACAGTGTGATTTGCTATGCTGAAGAAAAGCTCATCATTGAGTGCAGCATTGGTTAAACGTAAAAGGTAGGTTTTTCCAGGCTTCACCTTCAGCTTGAATGTATCTGCGAGCATAGAGTTACAGAAAATCAAATAAATGCACTTGACCAATATGATATTTCCACTTGAAAAATGGTATTGACAATTAATGTCTTTATGTAGACTTTAATACCCTTAGCAGAGCAATTATACAAAGGCCCAGGAAGTCCATTGATAGTATAGGCATCAGACACATTTGGGCCTCCACCTGTTTGAAGGGCCTGGCTAATGATAGCCTCAGTATCTCCATTAAACCACTCTCCTGCAATTTATACATTATTGTTTCTGTAAATAAATTCTGATTGGCAAAGTTGCTTAATTTTGGTAAATTCCAAAAGTATCTTGTTTATAGTTATAATTACCAAAGATGATGGGAACTTCCTT